GCTCAAGTCAGAGGCGTAACAACCGTATCGCGTCACCAGAAACACTTTTGCAGATACGACGGCGTTTGAGGGCTGCGAAGGCGTATGATACCTGCGAAATCTTGCACGTGATCGGGCTGCTTGTTGCGCACATGTTGTGCCCCCACAAGCAACGGTTTTCGAAGCACTGGGCGATTGCGTGTGACGGAGCTTTACCTGCTGGTACCTTTGGCAAATATATGCCACGCAACCGATGTACAGCTATCCTACGTGATCTACACTTCACAAACAACAATGCACCCCGCACTCGAGACAAACTGTGGAAACTGCGTCCGGTCGTCGATATCCTGCAGCAGCGCTTCCAATCTGGCTGGACATTGCCGGCAGTGTTTTCGTTCGATGAAGGTGTGTTACCAGCAACGTCTCGGCGGAACACTACGCGGATGTTTATGTCAGATAAACCTCATCGGTACGGTACCAAACTTTTTATGGTTTGCGACTCAAAGACAGCTTACTGCCACAGGTGCGTTAGTATCCTTTTTTCAAAGTCGTAACTTCTGACATCTCTAGCAATTCTGAAAAGCTAACGTCGTAACTTACTGGTTTAGGTTTGAGGTCTACGTTGGAGCCCGTGAATTAACAGACGGAGAATCCACCACTATCGACAACAAGACGGGTGCGGCTGCCGTCATTCGCAACATGAAAATTTTACTTGGCGACTGCTCTAGTGGATTTCGAATGGTCGTTGTCGATCGGTATTATTCGTCCGTAGCGCTGGCTTTACAGCTCCTCGGTATGTCTATCTACGTCGTCGGAGCTATCACGACGAACCGCATTGGATTTGACCGTCAAGTCGTTGAAGGCCGTCGGACGCGGCCTCGTGGAGTTGAGAGAGGAACCTTTACGTTCTCGCGCTGCGAGGCAGCACCTACAATGGTTGCGTGCCACTGGTGGGATAGAAAGCCAGTCCATTATTTGGCCACGGGTGCATCGATGGAGGAGGATACGATTCAGCGCAATGTGAAACAAATTGGGGCGATTACTGTGAAGTGTCCCAAGCTAGTGACCGATTATCAGCGGTGGATGGGCGGAGTTGATATTCATGATCAACTCCGCCTGCAGTCGTTCTCAATTCAAATGGCTTATCGGTTTCGAAAGTACTACAAGTCCTTATTTTTAGGCTTCCTAGATCTGGCGATCGTGAATGCTTTTATCACACACAAGGAGGTATGCCGGGCCGCGAGAATTGCGCCAATGTCTCGTGCTGCGTGGATGGCTGTCCTCCACAACCAGCTCCTGCAGTTAAAACCCGAAGATTTCGACTTGGATCCTATAGCAACTCCACAGTCATCCGCTCCCTCCAGGCGAAAACGTCGTCGCCTCCCACAGCACACTTTACAAACAGTACGATGACTGGGTCATTGTGTCCGGCGTTCAAAAGCGTAGACAGCGTGCGTGTAAGGTATGCGCACTTCTTCGCGGTGAAAGAAAAAAATCTTTCCAGACGACATTCTACTGTGAAGACTGCTCCAACAGCGAGGCCAAATTTTTCCTCTGCCCGAAAGCTCGGCGTGAGTACAATGGAATCGCGAAAACATGCTTCCAGATTTGGCATGAAGATTTTGAGTGTGGAAAATCAATTCTTGAGTCACTCGGGAAACGAGTTGTGTTTCGACGTCCGGCCAAGTTTGGAGCGCGCAAGAAAACACGCCGTGAGTTGTTGCGGGAAGAGGAGGACGATGCTGATGACGAGGGCGAAACTGCGTATGTAGCTAACGTTTGAAAACGCCATAAAACGGTGGTTTGATTATAGTATCTCGAGTGTCGCTGTTTTATGTAATTGATTTTGTACGTGGGTAGTACATTTCTTGAATCAGGCTTTAGTAGAAGTCGTAAGCTGAGACTTCTCTATGCGTTGGCGTTTAGAAGAGGTCGTAAGTATACGACATGTGAAGACCAAACACTTCAAAACTTTATTCACCATCGCCGATGTATCCTACGGCAAAAGGGGCGCCCCTATACAATAATGCTGTTATTAGGACGTCGTAAGTTACGACGTAATGTTTGCACGTTCAGAGACTCCATTTGCGGTATCAGAGGGGTTAAGTTTGGGTTTAATACAAACTGTTAGTTACCTATAGAAATACAATGTCATTTAACCGATGGTTGGCTTTGAACGACCTTGGTACCTTGTACCAAATATCTCGGAGTATGACGTGTCATACTCCTGAAGTGTGAAGTGTCACACTTCATGTAACTAGGGTACACTTAGGGCTACGTACCCCGTTACATCGATGGCTGTTGCTCTGGCACGCTTAGTGTTCCCGGGCTTGAGCTCGTCTAAGCCCATTCTGACGAGTTTTGTCGGATAGCAAGCAAATTTGCAAGTGATATGTAAAATACTGCGTGTATCAAGATATGTATTTTTTTACCCCCCCCCTGAGGGGTTTAGACCTTCACGTTTTGATTAACCATGAGCCATATATTATTATTATTAATAATAATAATATGATATCCATTAATACATGGATGTCATTGGTTATCATAAATATAGAAGACAAGATTGGCCATTAATGCTAATACTAAACTAAAGAGAGGTCGGATAAGTGATGATATTCCCTGGATTTTATTCAGAGCCGATACCAATGGACGTGATAATCCAGCGATTTCGTATATCCTGTCATAACAGTTTTGTATTGATTGAGTGCTCAGCAAAAACTGTCAGATAAAAACTTTTCCTTTGCACAAATAATATTTTGCATGTAGGTTGACCCATCCACCAAAGATGTAGACAAATTACCTTACTAAACGGGTATGCTATGATATTCGATTGTAGCCTGCTAGAAAGTATTTATCCAAGCCGCACAAGCAGCATTATAGCTAGTATCTTTCTTCGCGCGGCAATGGCTAGATCTTTGAGGCGAAAGCGAGCACATTTTAACTAAGTATCCACTATAAGTCGACCTTTCATCGGTCACTTGGTTAGGTATTTTTTATGTTTAGTGATAGGGTATGGCTGCCGTTAATCACAGAAGGAATGCTGTACTGTACATGTACGGTGTACAGTGTACAGCACACTCGTCGGGATGCTCGACACAAATGATTACCAGGCTCAAATATCAAGATTTCAAAACCAGCCGCACATGTACCGGTTTCAAAATTCGTGGGCTCGCTACATGTACTAATAAAAGTGATTGCCGTACAATAATATCTCGGGATCGGATTCAGACAGCTGCGAAAGCTCTCTACTGTCCTTCGAAGTATAATCGAGCATGTAAGTTATCAAACTAGCTCGAAAGAAATCTTTATGAGATCTCAAATACGGAAAAGAGTCCTTTGGGTGTTTCAGACAGGTTCATCTATAAGTACAGCTCGGTACATGTACATTTGCTCAGTGATCATGGCCCACTGAGCCAGGCTTAGTGACTAACTCAGTCACACATGTATGTAGAAGAGTGGCGAGTCACGCCGAGGAAACGAGATTTGCGGAAGGATTTGAAAGAAAGCCTTTTTCTTACCAACAATTAACCAGAATTCCGTACATGTAATTTAATACTAGCTAAGAGAAGTACTCTTATTACTAGAGTACTGGACTGCTACTAATAACTTCAAATCACGAAAATCACACGACATCATATCATCATTACTTGTGTATTACATAATGTATAAACACTACGTTTATACATGTCCTAATAAAAATGACTGATGCCATGGCAGCTCTATAAATAATAGATATAAAATTTGATTCAAATTTTAAAGAAATGATATATACTCCGTGTATTAATACATGTTTTAATACAGTGCAGTCAACAGATCCAGATCAACAAAGCCGGACAGTGTGCGTTCAAGCCCAACAGGTCCTGTTACGGTGTTGGCAATAACGACGTTGCAACAGGCGAAGCAACGTGATTTACTTTTTACCACCCGTGGTAACGTTTTTACGCGTTTTTACACGTTTTTACGGATCTCGAACACAAGACAGAATCCTTCATCACCACAAGGCCGTTTACTTTGTGTTAGCGCGTCATGACGTCCCACGACTAGGAGCTGGCGCGTCTCCGGGCGTGTAGTGGCAAGCCCATTCTGCTGGCTGGAATCTTGGGTGACGCCGCTGTAGCTCTGGCTCAGTGGCAATTCATGGCAAGGTGAGTACTAATCACAGCAGCCGCTTAACCAAAACGAGACGATGTGCACCAACATCACTCCTGTTACAGGAGTCCTGTCCGAACTCCGAAGTGTAAAAGAAAATCATTCCCGATTTCCCTTCACTCCCCTCAACTAAGTTGAGCCAACTTTAACGGCGTCAAGACCCCAACAGAAGCTCAACCAACCTGTTAGCCGCGATCGATGCGTGTGACCTTAGTCGTCCTCGTCATTATCGCTACCTTCGTGGTCAGCACCATTGCCACGGACTCAAGGCGAGCGATTGATATTCTAGAATACGCTCCTCAATTACGTACCACCAAGGAAAATGGCGACCGACACCTCCGAAAGAAAGATTATGCGAATGAAGGTCATGCATGAGGAGAGGGTCAGCTTCTTTTCATCTGCCAAAAAATATTGGAGAATGTGCCCGGGCTTGAAACGAAATTCCTCCGTCTCCCTTCTGGTGATCAGTCCGAGTTTCTGAAGAGGCTGGCGTCTATCGAGAGACTGGATATAGTGCTGACAACAAACAAAGTGCCAAAGTGGATCAAAATGTTTCCAGACAGTTGGGCTGGGAGAATCATACAGTACAATGCTTGGATCTTTTCCAATAAGACCCCCGAATGGGTCGGGCTAAACTTCCAAAAAGGTTATGACCTGTTTTACCACAACCGAATGACGAGGCAAGTACGCATAGAGCCAATGAGTTTCTGGTGACATGTAGTAATTGAGTACCGACAGTACATGTCTTGGAAGCTTGTGTATCGCTTTAAATCGAACAGTAATAGTCCACTGCAAAACCTCTGAAAGTATCAATTCAAGCAATAACTTCCACACACAAAAACTATTGACTATTCTCCTTGTAAATTCTTACGAAGATCACACGTGTTCACTACAAGCCACCAAGCCGCGAAGACGTGGACAGTGTACCGGAGCTGAAGCCGTACTGAGGGTGATACTGCGGCTCCTGCGACGCTGCATAGTACTCGGCAAAGCAGTTGTCACAGACGCGGACAGGCTCGTCGTCGAAGCCGATGCCAAAGACTGACACACGTCGACTCGAGTGCTCGTGACAGAACGAGTTACCGCACATACGGCAATGGTGTCGTCGCACGAACAAGTTGAACGGCTCCTCGCACTCGTAGCAGTTGGTGGAGCGAGCCCACTTGACGATTCGAGGCATTCCACGGCCACCAAAATTCGCAGGAGAAGAACGGGGTGGGCCCTGGTAGAATGACGACGCTACTGAAGACGTTGGCGTTGGAGGAAGTCCAAGCGAACTACCGCCACTGCGCCGACTGTTGCCATGTGATGAGCCACCGGCTGAAAGCTGCGACTCGGACAACGGAAGCGACGGGAGACTCGGTGGGGCCTCACCCAAGGGCAGGTTCGTAAACGACGTGGTCGATGCAGCTGACGAGGAGCGTGTCGGCCGTGTGCTGGATGAGAACGACAAGGCGTGCGACTTGCGAGACGTCTGGAGGGCCTGCTCCTTCCCAGCGATAGACTGGCGCAACATGTTCATCTGACTCTGGATATTCAAGATGATTGAGTCCACATCCGATCCAGTTTCGCTCGGTGGGGTGTCGCCGTACAATGATCCGTCCGCAGAGGGAAAGCGCTCCCTGCCACCGAACGACCCTCGGCCGTACATGAAGGATTCTCTTGCGGCGTCTTCGTAATTCTTGCGGGCCACGAGTTGCTCCAGGAACTTGCACTTGGCGTCCAGCTCTTCGATCTTCTGCGATAGCATGGACACGTGATCAGCTTGCTGTGCCGGCATGACACTCCGCGCACGACGTGGTGGCAACAGCGATACTTCGTCGTCATTCTCTCCGTCCTCGTCTTCGGATAAGGCACCGTCCTCTGAATACCGACGACGACCGGAGCGTGAGCGCGTTACACGGGCGGATTGACTCAAGTCCAGCGGGGCACTCCGAGGCGGGCGAGAAAAAGCCGACGATCGGCGCTGCTGATCCTGCCGAGATCTACCGTTCTGTTGCTCTACCAGTATCTGTTGTAAGCGCAAGATCTCGTTCTCCAGAAGCGAATTGCGATCGTCGACGTGGCTGCTGCTTGTACGGCTACGTCGACTGTTTGCGCGTCTGCTGTTGGTGCGACGGTGAGTCGGAGCGGTAATGCGGAGTGGGGGCTCCATCCAGTCATCACTGGTAGAGCTGTCTTCCTGCTCCGAGCTGGACAGAGTCACTGGCAAGCCTAATGACTTTGAAACACGTCGCTTGGGTCCGCTCTTCGTCGAGTCATCACTCGGGGAAGGCTCGGCCTCCATTTCAGCTGCTGCCTGAGACGCTAGACATGCACGACGGAGCTTGCAGAACGCCACGTTCAAGCGAAAGCGCCTTAGCTTAGCTGAATTAACCTGGTTCTGCTCGAGCCATCGCCTGCTCCGTCTTTGAATGATGATAGCCGCAGCCACCTCACGCTTCTCCTGTATCAGCTGCACTCGCTTCCTCTGAGCAAACCAACGTCGGCACCGCGTTTGGATTCGAATCACACAAGATATCTCCAGCTTCTCGCGTCGCAGCTTCTCGCGTTGTCTCTGAGCCAACAAACGTCGACAATGCGCTTGAATGCGCACAGCCGCAGTAATCCGAAGCTGTCGCTTCCGACATCGAGCAAGTTCCAGCTGTGCCAGCCAACGTCGACAATTTCTTTGCAGGCAACTAGCAGCAACGACTCGGAACTTCTGCTCACGTAGCTCAGCAAGCTGTCGCTGTGCAAGCCAACGCCGAGCACTCGCTTGAATGCGTGTAGCAGCAGCAATCTGGCGTCTGTCCCTCAGCATCTCTGCAAGGACTCTCTGTGCTACCAACCTCCTGAAGCAGGATTGAATTGTAGTGGCAGCTTCACGCTGACGCTTGTGCGTCAGCATCTCTGCAAACTTGCGTCGGACCATGAGCCGTCTCCAGGACGCCTGGATGTGAGTGGCAGCGTGCTCGCGGCGGAGTTGACGCAGCTTGTCCACTCGTCTCCTTCCCAGAAACCCGCGAGCAATCGCCTGCACATGCACCACGAAGCCACGCAGCTCTTGATACAACACTCGACGTCGAAACCCACGGTAATGCTTCTGTAATACTGTCGCGCAATGATGTCGCAGCTCCACACGGTAGCGCGAGAAGCGGTTGTAAGTGCTCGACTTGCAGAACACCAGGGTCCTGCCCACTTGCACGTCCTTACGACGAATGTCGTTCTCGAACGCTGTGCCGCTGCCGTCTTCGGTTACCACGGTCAGGGCGCCAGGGTTCTTCTCCTCGCGCTCCACTCCATCTTCCAGTAGCACTCTGTCCATCAGGACAGTCACGAGAGCTTGAGCCAAGTCGTGGTCATTCATCTTCGCAGCTCGATCTCGAGTACTTAAGAAGCACTTAAAGCCTGAGAACAGCTCGATAAAACTCGCATGAGCCAGACGCACAGAGTAGCCATGACGGGCAATGCGAACCGCCTCCAACACACCGACAGAGCGCATTTGCTCTACCATCCTCTCGCGATCGAAAATCCCTGGCTTTTTGACCTCGTTGGGCTTGAGACACCGAACATAGTGAGCTTCTGTGCGTCCGATCTGCACAATAAGACGGTCCAGTTGACTCTTGAACTGCGCTGACACACTCGGAGCACGTAGCATCGAGTAGCGTCTCCGCCCTGCTGCTCCGTTGTCAACACCTGGAGAGTCTACGTTCTCATCAGCCCCGATCGCCACCACCACCTCGTTACTGGAAGAAGACAAAATGTCGCTGGCGTCAGCAGGTAGAGCGTCGGTGTTTTTCTCGACGAATTGCTCCACATTATAGCACACGCGACCAGCGAAGTGGTGGACCACGAACTGGTGATTTACCCGCTCCATCTTGGACGCTGAGAAGGGGTGTTTCTTGGTGTCTTGGTGCACTGATTCCTCCTGCGATTCAGCGCGATGTAAGTACCGACTGAAGTTAGACATGAACGTCCGAGAGCTCTGTGGTTGAAGCACTCCTGTCGAGCCTTGTCTTCCGTGATAACGATAGAACTTGGTGCTCAGCGCTTGGTTTGAGCCTTTCGGCATCAGACACTCCTGGTCCAGTAACGAGAACAAGCCGTTGCTTTTGTCATCGAAGAGAGCCAGGCACGCAGCGTTGCTCGGGTACGAGATGTTCGTCCAGTCGATGCCTTCTGCCATATATATCTGTTGCTCCTGCACGAAAACGAACTCGTTGAACTGCGCCTGGAGCTTTTCATTGGCATAATTGATGCAGAGTTGCTCGAATCCATTGCGATTCAAGCTCTCGAAACCGAAGATATCCAGAATTCCGATAGTCGCCAGCTCCTCGTCTTCGTCCGAGATGGATACGGCGGAATCAAAGTAATTGATCTCGTCACTCAGACGACGAACGAGCCACGTGAACAGCCGACCGTAGATGGCCTTGGTTAGCGATCCGCAGATCTCCTTGGCCTGCTCTGGGGTATGTTGAAGCACCATAACTTCCACGCCAGCCTTGATCTCTCGACTACTCAAAAGCGTCTCCAGTTTGTCCACATCAAACCCCATGAGCTCTGCACATTTTGCCAAGTGAACCCTCGACGCTGCGGTGACAGTCGTAACATCTTCCTGTCCGTTTTCAGCTGTAAAGTTGACGTTTCCTAGATGCAACAAAGCTGCCAAGATCTTGAAAATGTCCAGTCGCTCCAGCTCGCCTACACCCGTATCTTCGAACGCACGCACCGTCTCCACATACAGCTGCGCGTACTTGTCCGCCACTGCTCGTTTCCGAGCAAAACTGGGTCCGTACGAATTGAGCAGCTCGTATTTGCCTCCTTTCTGGAGGCCCAAGACGTCCAGCAGCTCCTTGTCTGCTCCTTCGAGCAACTCATAAAAAATGTGGAAGCTGCGTTCCTCCGGGCTCTGGTGCAGTAGCCGCACCTTCTCCAGTAAATAACTCACGATCTGCGCCCCGACAATCTCGTTCTTGTGTCCAAACTGAATTTTGATGAATTTGCCGAACCGACTCGAGTTGTCGTTCCTGATGGTTTGAGCGTTGCCAAAAGATTCCAGAATGGGGTTCGTTTGCAGGATCCTCTTGCCAATTTCCACGGCGTCGCTCCCTTCCTGCTCTGTACACGACTGATCACGCCCCACACTGGTCAGAAATTGCATGAGGAACTTGGTGCTCTCGGTTTTGCCACTGCCGCTCTCTCCGCTGACCAGGATGCTCTGATTGCGTCGCTCGGACTTCAAGAGTCCGCCGAACGCTTTGCCACCGATGGCAAACACGTGAGGAGGCAACTCTTCTCTCATTGAGACAGGACTGGTGTCTGTCATGGTCTTTTTGTATGCGTTCAATTGCGTCTCGGAGTAGAGTTTCGGCAACGGTTTGAGCGGGTTGAGCGCCACGAGGATGTCTCCGATGGACGTGTAGATCTCGTTGTGCTCGAAGCGCTCGCTCAGTGCCTGCAGCAGCGCCGCCTCGTGCAGATGTTCGAGACTCGTGAGACTCGACATGGCCGGGAAGTTCGCCGACATGTTGCGTTGACACAACTCGTCGTCGAAGCCTGGGTACCGACCTGGCAAATGGCAAAAAGATGAGTGTTAGTTGCGGAGTGACCTTTGTGTTGCCTTTTGCCACAGTTTAGAGCGACAGGGGCACTTTGCCGCATTGGACGAAAAGACGCAATCACTTACGCAACATGATGTCGCCCGTATCGAGGCGCCGAACTTGCACGATGCCGCTTGCGTCCTGATAGTCGACCACCTCGCCTGCCGTCCAGACAGCGGCGTCCTTGGTCTTAACCCACACGTTGCTGCCCACGTCCATGGCGGCCGAGCCGGGGACCTTTAAGGATAAGTCGCGAGCTGGTTTTTTACGCGCGTGCGGATTGTGGGCGTCTTGGAAATGAGCTATCCACCCGGCCGACCCGGTTAAACCACGCCGCACTGCGCGCCTTCCCTCTTCCTGTTTTACGGACGGAAGAAGGGCAGTTTTTTTCCGCCCACTGAGGTGTATATAGGGTTTTGTATCGGCACAGAAACGGGCTGCGTTGCAGGAAGATTTTGCGACGACATGAAGGAGCCCGAAGCTGCGACAGTGTATCCACGCAGTTGTTTGGCCTGAAGCCTTCAGTGAAGGATCTCCTCACCTGTATGCAGCTGCCAGCTAGTAGCAGGAAGCACTTGAGTCCATGTAGCGAGTGCAGCGAGCAAGCCAGTGGAATTTTTTGCATCTATCCAGCTTTACATCCGCATGGTCTTATTCGAATTACCGGCTGCAGCTGTGGTGCTTTGGAAATAATGTGGAGACGGTGTCCGTGTCGGTTCGTCGATTTGGAACGAATCATCCACTGTCGATGGTCTCTGATAGTTATCGAGACAAAAGATCGCCTCACGACCAGGATACCTCACTAATTAGAAACGACTTGTAACGCCAATTTAACTGAAGATACCTTCGGTTCGCTACAAAAAGATCAACCGTCGAGCTGTAGCGTACAGTGGTCAGGGTGGATGGACATCAGGGTTCTCGTTTCGGACGAGTTTTTGAATTATCCTCGCGGTGGCCCAAGACAGTCCACGATTCTACCACCCATCAGTATGTGCGTTCAGTATCGCGGAGTGGACGGACGCAGACTGTCTTCGCGCAGGTGTGCCATTGATTCTTGGGTTTGGCAGTGCCAAATCTCGGCTGCCAAGATGGCCATAAAAGTTTGATTCAAACTCCCCGCTTTTCTCAGCAAATGAATATTTTCGAGCTAAGGTTTCTTTTTTAGCGAAATTTTGCAGTTTCAACATGGCTACGCTGGACAAACACAAGACCAGGCTAATCCATATCGCCAGCGTTCATTTCAGTTATGAAGAAGAGATGGGTGGGTCACATGACAACAATGACCACAAGAGGCGCTGAAATGAAGAAGAGTTGTTTTACTATTAATAAATACTCGTCCTCAGCTTCAACCGCTCTCAAATTGCAAATTTTCATGTGCACCACACCATATGGTTTTGACTGGTGTACGTCACTTACTTCATCACCTCAAAGCGTCACCACCAGCACCATGGTCAAGAAGCGCACGCTCTCGCCGCTACCGGCCTTCGACCAGAAGGCGCTGCCCGTGTTCCTACAGAAACACGACTTCAAGGAGCTTCACGCGCTGACAATCTGGCGCTATTTGGCGCAGCACCCAGACGCTACGTTCGCCGATATCCCTGGAATCCCCAAAACTCTTCGTACGCTATTGGGAGAGCATTTCGCGCACTTCACGACGTCCGTGACCACGGAACAGCGCTCTGCCGATGGCACGGTGAAGTTACTGCTTAAACTTCAAGATGGGCACGAGATCGAAGCCGTGATCATGCGCCACACGGGGCGCAACACGCTCTGCGTTAGCTCCCAGGTGGGCTGTCAAATGGGCTGCACATTCTGCGCCACTGGCACACTCGGTATCATCGCCGACCTCTGCAGTGGCGAGATCCTGGAGCAGCTCGCACATGCCAACCGCGTGGCACCCATCCGTAACGTGGTATTCATGGGGATGGGCGAACCGCTGAACAACTACGACGCCGTGCTTGCCGCCATTCGAGCCATGACAAAAGTCTTCGGCCTTGCGCCAAAGTACATCACGTTGTCCACGGTGGGCGTCATCCACCGCATCCGCCAATTGTCGCGCGATGCTCCGCTCGTGCGCTTGGCGCTATCGTTGCACGCCCCCACACAGGAGATGCGCAGTGAGATCGTGCCCACATCCACGGCATATCCCCTCGACAAGCTCATGGCGGCTATTGACGATCACCTCGCGATGAAGTACGTTGGGAGTTGTGCTCAAGATTTTACTATTGTCGTTCTAACGTGAGTTTGACTGTGCAGGGAGGGACGTTTAGTGATGGTAGAGTACTGCATGCTGGCAGGTGTGAACGACTCGATCGAGACTGCGCATACCCTTGGCAAACTGCTACAGAACCGATCGGTGCACGTGAACCTCATCCCGTACAACACGACGGACGTGGGAGCGCAGTTCCAGTCGCCGTCGGCCGAGGACATCCGTGCTTTTCACGCTGTGCTGCGTGAACCTTACAACCTAAAGGCGACGATCCGCGAGAACCACGGCACAGACATTGACGGTGCGTGTGGACAGTTGGCACTGAAGAACAAACCCGATGGGAGTCGTGACATCGAAGATCTTGGTCCTCGAAGAACTAAGGCTCCGCGGAAGACCAAGAAATCCTCCTCGACGTCGGACAACGCAAGTGTTGACGCTTCTCCTGTCGCTACGTCCACCGGATCATGGCTCACCCGTGTCAATGTCTTCATCGACGAGTACCAACAGGCTATCGGCTTTATCTTGCTCGGAGCATCGGTCGCTGTGCTTGCCATCGGGATTGCCCGTCGCGGGCGGACACACCTAAGTTAATCAAGCAGCCAGGGCAGCTCTTTCACCATAGAATCGGAAGAAGATATGCCCATACACACCTCTATTTGTTGTGATCCGGGAACCGAGTATCACTTAATCCGGTCAAAAGCTCGCAGCTTACATAATGTGAAGCATTTTCTTGATCTCCTTGTCTTCCTTCATGCGCTGCCTTCGACCTGCCAGTCGACTACGCTCTGCCTTGTCAGCTTCAGCCGCTCGCAGCAGTCGTAGCGCCTCCATTTCTCGTTTCTCGTGGCGATTCCTTACGAACCAGAAACTCTTAGCATCTCGACGACGTTCGAGCGCTTCGGCTTCGCGAATTTTCACCGCCGCAGTAAGACGTTGCTGCTCTTGTTCTTCTGCCCTGAGACTGCTAGCGACGCCAGCTCGAGCAGCGCGTCTCATGAGCGCTCCAGACTGCGCCACGAAGCTGGTTTCAAACTTACGCGTCAACTTGCGACGTCGTGAGGCGTGTCGTTGGTGTTCTAGAGCCTCTCGCATGTGGATTTGATCGATTCCACGCTCAAAGCGCATCCGTTGCAGTCTGACGTCGATGTCCAACTTGATGTAAGCCACTTCGGTAGCTTTCTCTCGCTGGAGCATACGACGATCCACGATAAATGCCTCAGTTGCCCGTTCGCCTTCCTCACGGAGGTCGCGTACATAAAGTTCACGAGCTTGTTGTTCTTGGTCTTGTTTATCCTCGACAGAGATGTAACTGGGTTTACCAAGTCGGTTCGTTAGCATCTGGTGACGACTACTTCCTTGAGGTGTGGAGGGGGACGCGGACCGTGACGCGGTTTGAGGTTGCGTTGGTTGAATTGGGACACGAGCCTTGATCCGGTCATTCGGATGTCGCTCGGCATCTTCAGGAAGAGTAGACTCCACCACATGCAGCGGTACTGGAGCCCCACTGTCTGGTTGAAGAGGCCGAGCGAACACGCGAGGGGGTACACGAGGCACGGGGTCTGACGGCCGTACAGGGACTCGGGTCTCAGGTTCTCTCGGTGGGATCTGCTGTACGTGGAAGTCAGGAGTTGGTTCTACTGTCTCCGAGACGGGCGGCAGAGCACTGTGAGCTTTTCTTTTCGCCGTCGCGTGCAGAGCCTCAAGTTTTTGCTGCATCTGAATCCTCCATCGAGAAGGAACTTCATCGTGCATCCACACGAGCGACTCCTTCAAGACAGCTTCGACTTCTTCTCGTGTGGCAGCTTGGCTTATGGCCCACTAGCAGTGCAACAATACATGTCAGCTATGTTCGTTAGTTGTGAAGTGCAAAGTATCTACAGTAGTCAGATTAATACCTGATGGTGGCGAAAGGCAGCCCCGAACAAAGTCTCCAACGTATACAGCCGCGCGAACGTCTTCGTGATCGGGTCGAATGTCTTACACAGCAGTAGTAAAGCACGTTTCCTAGCTTCATCGATGGATTCAAACGTGAGGCGCACAAACGACGTATCGATCCCAAGTTGTGACGGTTCCAGCTGCCAATTCCTTGTCACCTTGCTATCTGAAAGTCGTCGCGCGATGTCCATTACTCGAGTGGCGGCGTCGACAACGTGCTGACACGTCGGAAACTCACGGAACGGATTCATCTGCGCAAAAACTTCAGCTATTGGTGGCTGTGTGGCGCCTAACATTAGCTCGTGCTCCATGAGTGTAGGCTCGACCTGCACTCCATCGACTAGCAGTAAAGCCGCAGCATCTTCAGACCTAGAGCTCATGCTCTCCTGCTCGGGATTTGGCGTACCAGGCATCCACACAGGTAGATAAGCGCTGCAACGTTGGCTCGACCAGAGCTCAATCTTCGACGAGCTTACATGGGCTGACGGCACAGACGATACTTGGTGATACTGGGGCTGAGGAGGTAGAATCGATCGCTGTTCTCGACTGGCGGTGTAGAGTAGTAGCTCACCTGGCGTCAACGTGAGCTCGACGTGCGTCCCCGAGACGACTCGGCAGTGAAGGCGATGTTCATGACATCGATGTCGAGCCACAACGCTCTGCACTGCAGGCCAGGACTCCACAAGGGTGTGGTAGACACTGGCTTCCATGAACAGAGTGCGAGAATTAATACTAGCTCCAACCAGAAGACACGCGCGCAGCACATCCAGTCTCCGACGCAGTCCAACACGAAATCTCCACCACCGCTGAATGCAGAGGAGCGCACGTGCAATCGTAACCTCAAGAGCATTTCGACGAGAGTGACACATGGAGGCTCGCCACGCTGACTGGATCAACAACGCTGCGTCTGCACGCTTTGCCTCCTCGTATGGCATTGCAAACGCTTTCGCTGGACCCACAGAGCACATGGAGACGGCGCGATCCAGACTCGCCACGATGTGCAGGTACATGTCGATCGTCCATGGAATAAACACCTTCATCTTTCGATAGCCACGCGAGTGTTCAGATAGTGAGGTCATTAGCCGCCTCCGCTCCCATCGCGCGGGCGCGTGTCCTCGTGCACGAAGCTTTGCCTTGGTCAAGGAGAAATGCGTCTCAGTCTTCAGCTGCTGGCGGCGCTGTTGCTGCTTCACACAAGCGTCGAGAATTCTTCGATTGCAAATTACCAAACGCTGCCGAATCTCACGCGCAACTTGGTTTAGATGCAGAAGCACGGCTCGAGATTGACGCCTCGCTACCATTTCCAGTCTGGTTAAAGTTGTACAGCCACCTAGTTCAGCAATACCCTGTCGCTGCTGACTCTGGATGGAGGCGATACTCTCGAGATCTTGCTGCAAGAAACGTTTTTCAGTGACAAGCAACTGGTTCTCGACTTCATTATCGCTGAGAAACCCACGGATCAGTGCAGGCCAGCCAGCCGAAGCCGACCGCTGCGTCGGATGTTGTGAGGCTGCATCAAGCGTCGACTGTGCATTTCGACCCAAGCGTAGCAGTCGATAGCCTTCATCGTCTTCACGCTGTAGCTGTTGTGGTCGCTCTGGGGTCGGGGATCTCCCGTTTGGGGTCGAAGCAAGACGCACAACGTTCGAGTTTGGGTTTGGTCCTCGGAGAACGCTCATTCCGGATTGAGCACAGCGTTCTCGAAGCAGCTCGAGTCGCTCTTCCCGAGACAACGTCATGAGATAAGGATCGCGTCGAGCCACACGCGTAGCGAGAGTGAGAAGCTCCTGCTCAAATTCTGGCGTGTAGTAGATCCAGATTTCTTGTTGATCACGCAAAAGCTGCCGAGTGCGTCGTGCGTGACGTTGGTACACCATTTGACACCAGAAGCGGATCTTCTTGATGGCCACGGCTCGCTTCTTGGCTTGGAAGTGCGTTCGCCATCGACGTATCATCGGTAGCATTCTCTCAAATGATCGACGTGCAAGTGGCGACAAAAGTCCGTGACCTGCTGCAACGGAGGCCATCAGCAGCTTGGATTCTCCATTTGCTGCCAGTAGCTCGCAAATGTGACGCTTGATCCTTTGACGTAGTAGAAACCCGCGAATATGCTTCTGAACGTGAATAATCAGCTCACGTACATTGCGGAAGCGTGGGAAGTTGGCCCGTCGCGACAGATAGCCCCGGATAAGTTTCTGAGAGCGGACACTTGGGCTGTTGTTAGCATGCATACTCGCTACTGCAGTCTCGGTCTCTCCAACGTAAAGTAGAGCGGCGTCGTCGGTCTCGAACTCGAGAGGCATATGAAGATGCGCGATGCTTAGTCGCGGTGCCAACGCATTGAAGCGAGTGCTTGGACGAGCGTGGCGAATTACCTCTTGGTCTGTAGTCACATAACTGTCGAGAGCCTTGAGGAACGGGAGCTTGTTCACCACGAAACTGCGCGCATTCTTCAGCGTCATGAGGGGATTATCCGTCAACGTTAGCCAAAGTAGTGATCTGGAACAGCCTTCGAGTCCTTGGATGTCTGTCCACGTCTTTAAAGCGTTGTGAGAGAGAAAACACATGCGTAGACAGCGGAACTGCGACCAGAAGTCGATACCAGGCAACGTGGAAATCTCGTTCTGCGATGCATTCAGCACGCGCAACGTGCGAGACATTCCCTCGATGGGCCTCACGTCTCTTATCGCATTTTGCTGCACGTTGAGAACGACAACGAAGTCGAATCCACCGGATGTGAGCAGGGAGAGATCAAGCAGGCCCTCGCTCACACGCTGCATCACTCGAAGCTGCCACTCCCACGCATCTCCATCGTCGTCTTCGTCTTCTTCCGCATCAATCTCCTCTTGAGTCGTCTCGTTGTCACCCCACGGCGCTATCTCTCCGTTCACTTCGACACCTGCTTCCTCTATCTCCGCACAAAACACTTGGTTGCTGTTCTCTGTTGCTTCTTTCGCCCCCTCCTTCGATTCATCGCCGTCTCGCTCAATCCGTACCTCGCTTTCCTCCTGGACTTCTCCATGAACATTCTCGCCACTTAAGGCCGGGTCATCGATCTCTTGTAGCTGCTGTTCATCGATCTGGTTCGCTTCATCCGAAGGCTCTTCTGGCACTGAGGACATGGCCAAACAACACGCTCAATATCTTCGCATTAGCTCAAGCATCCAACGACCCGAACAAGTTTAGTGTCCGTAACGGTCCGTGCAGCGTTAGTCATCTCATACAGCAACATCCCACTGCTCACCTCTGGTAAAACCCTCGGCTGTCCAGTCGAAACATGGTTCACAATACGGTTGCATTTGTTGCGCTTCTGCCAACGTGCGAGGTCTCGCGCACGAATCTGTCCTTCTCGCTGCATACAGCGGTCTACTTTCTATAAATTGTCTGCCTCGTACATGACGCCCACCTCACCTCGTTCAATGCCGGAGGACATGGGGTCATGTTGACGTGCTACTACCTGTGTGAGCCGCCCTGGTCGTCGACTCTACTTTTACGTTTGCTGCAGAGTTGGTCGATGACGAAACGGAGCCCGCAGCTCCAGAAGCACCTTGTGATTTCTTCGCCTTTTTGGTGGAGCGAGCGGGGGCCTTTTCCTTGCGAGTGTACGCCTTCCTCTTCCGCGGCGCCTGCTTTTTCGTCGCATTAGCAGTCGCAGCACTCGCAGAAGACGATACCAAAGGAGAAATCCCTACCATCGCTTCATCCAAGGCCTTCACGGCGGCCGCTTCTACTGCTTCAAAGGTGAGCGCTTCACCTTCCTCTTTAATCTTGCTCTTAACTCCACCGCCTGTCAACGACTTCACGTAAACTTCTAAGGGTTCTGCGCTTCTCGCGTACGTCAGTGGGAGCTTCGAGTACTCGTTCATCAGCACCTTCAATCGCGACAGCTGCTGCGTTTTACTCGCGCTCTTGGTCATGCACTTGTGTGCACGAGAGACCCACGCGTCCACGCGACCAATCACGCTACGAAGCGGGGCCACAGTCTTCTTGTCCTCCCACAATCCGTACTCCAAGGCGTACGCAATAGCATCGTTAATCTCGCAGCGTGATGGCCGCTCCTGCAATAAAGACACCACCACTTGGCTCCATGGCACCGTGCGTAGTAATCGCGCGTACATATCCACGCCAGGAAACAGCTTATCGATGCCCATCGACTCTGGTGTTGGAGTTGGGCTTGACGCAGAGGCCGACGCTGGAGGATGTTCCATTTCAGAGAGCGCAGTTGCATATTCCCGAGGGAGAAACGTCGAGTTGTCGATGTTCGCACGCGACAAGGAGGTCGTAGTATTCAGCAACGTCACAGCTTGTCGCACCCAGGCCTGGGCATACGGAAGCATACGATGTCGAGCGTGGAATATATCGGACAGTTCACGAAGAGCTTGCTGCGCATTCGCCAGACGCTCGCGACTAAGACGCAATGAACTCTGAAGCTCGAGCACCTGTTTGCTTGCCTCGACGTGCTCACTCTTCATCTTCGTGAGCTGCTGTTCAACGCCACCGGCAACCACTAGCGCTGCTAACCGCTCCGTACTCCCCATCAACGTGGCAGCCATCGGATTCAATAATTGCGGCGTCGGGACCTGATGGACCGCAGGAGCCGAAGCAAGTGTCGTTGTAGATGTGCTGCTAACAGGCCTACTAGTGGCTGGTGTGCTAGTCGCAGAAGAGGTCGCCGAGACAGTAGTCGTGGTCGTGGCTGTTTGCTGTTGAGTCGAGGTAGCGCTTGCTGGGACAGTCGACGATGATATAGTCGAGGTAGCAGGCGAGGAGCTGGTCGGCAGGTCGCTCGAGCTCTTCACTCCATTAACACTTACTGTGCCTCCTTCACTGGGCGTTGTCACCGGCTTAGTAGCGAGCTCCTTCGGTGTGCTCTTCAAAACGTTGTTGACAACGCGCATAGGAGGAATCAGGATACTTGGGTACTGCGGACGATTCGATACTGTCGCATGGATACCTGCCAGCGTCGATGCGGCTGCTGCACTCGATGTTGCTGTAGTGGTACTGCTACTTGGAGCAGTTGCAGCAGTGGACGCTGCCGCAGCAGCAGCGAGGAGGAGAGCATTTGTACCAACTGCACTAGTCGATGCGGCAATGCTGGAGGTGATAGGAGTTCCTGTCTTTGCTATGGCTACTTCTGGCTTTGGCGCGGAGGGCTGAACAGGAGAAGGTTTCTCTGGCGCTTGCCTCAATGCATGCTGCTGTCCAAGAGCACCAGTCCCTGCAACTGGTTTAAGAGACAAACAAGCTTTCGCACGCTCGATGTCGTCAATTCGAGCCCGGAGCTGGTTCATCTGGTTATTGCAGCTAAACAGCAGCATTTCGGTGCGCTCGACGGTCTTTTCTTCGCGTTTGACCTTGCGCAATGCACTCGCCTGATGCTTCTCGAAAGCCCTTGCGTATTCCTGCATATCCCACAAATTATTTTGCTTTTCCGCTGTCTTCGCATGCTGAAGCATCGCTCCAAGCTCCTGCAAAATCGTACAGGACGGACAGGTATAGCGCTCCACCTTCTCAGCCTTCTCCTTGGACATACCAATACAGCAGTCGTGGAACCAATCATCGCAGTGATCACACCCGATCATTAACCCGTCAAAAGGTTGGCGACAGATACAATAGCGCTCCGTGGCAGACTTCAGGACATCACGATGCATGTCGAGGTCAATCACCAGGCGAGCGCACTCGTACTCATTCAGCAACGCCAGCAAATTCGCAACTCTTGCTTGACCTGACTCGATTCCGGACGCCAGCACGCGAGTCTCCCAATCACTCGCGATCTCCAGATGCTCCTTGAGGAAGTCAAACACGGGCATGTCAATTGCGATGTCCTCGCCCTCCTCCACCAACGAACGGGCAGCACTCAAGCTCATTCTGCCCACGCCCTTTGTTATCAAAGCTCGCAAGCGCTTTTTTAACTTGGAAAGCCACACTCTTGCCTTCTTAGCTTCATCCATCACAATCTTGAAGGTGCCCTGCTCCAGTAATAGTCCACTTCCACTATCCAGCAACGTTTGGAGCTCGCTCACACGGGCGTGTTTGTCGGCCACGCACTTGTGCACTCGCTCTGTCCACTCGAGCACCACCTTCTCGTGGGTTTTTAAGTACGAAAGTGGCCAAAGCATCCGCTCCAGAGTCGCCAGAGTGGCTGGTTTTACTACATCAAGCGCCTTAATCTCTACGAGAGTTCCCACAATGCCGTCACCCTTAGCGACAAGGTCTTGGAGAGGAAGAATTTCATCGTAAAACAGAGATCGAGAGCCCTGCAGCCACTCCAGCAACGATATGACAAGGCTAATCACCTTCTGCTCTGGGGCTTCAACACTAAGTACGTCACTTTCCTTTTGCGCATGCAAAAGCTGCTGCTTCCATCCATCCAAGACTCGCACAGACTCGTCCGTAACATTCTCTGTCATGGTGCCTCTTTCTCCTGCCAAAACAAGCTCCTCCACAGTCTGTCGCGCTTCTGCTTCTTTCAACTCCAAGCTGTTCACAGTTTCAAAACTCTCCTCTGCCATTGCCAGGATCGGCTCCAACAGATCCCCTCCGTTCTTCGCCCCCCACGACGTTTTTGTATCGTCAGAGTCATCCTCTTCGTTCTTTGCCACAGATTTCTGCATGCATCCACTTTCGATTCTAACATGTGTCATGATGGAATCAGCGTGGATCTCTAGCGCTGGCATGTTCCCAGTCGCAACACCATTCGCGTTTGTAGCCTTCACGTCTAGTGCTGTAGTTTCAGCCTGCCCTGCATCCTCGGCGTGAGTGAGTTTGTCCTTTGGAGAACCAACCTCTAGCTTGGATTCGGGCTTGGATTCGGGCTTACTGACCTCCTTTGGTGCCACACTAGCACTCGCACCTTCAGCATCAACATCCATGGCGGAGACATCACCTTTTTCTTCCTTTTTGACCACGTTGGACTCGTCATTGGTTGGTGCCGACGACATATCCACGTCCTCGTTTCCCTCCTTCTCTGCAGAGGCAGGACTCACATCGCCAATATGGAGTTTCTTTTTAGCCTTCTGTAGTTTATCGTACACCATAAGATCGAACGCTTGAAGACGCTCGACGACACTCGCCACGGATGTACTCACTTCACCATTGATCACTTCCTGCGCCTTGGCGCGCCAGCTTGTCAGATCGTGAAGTTCTTTCGAAAGTATCCGCAGCTCGTCACGAAACAGAAAGCGCAGTCTCTTCGACTCGTCCAACAATTCGTGCAGCTGCTCTGTCGTGAACGAATCATTCGCTAGACGCTTCTTCCTGGACTGTCTGGGAGGAATACACTCGCGGACACGCGCCGCCCAGTCCTTTTCACCTTCTACGATACTGGCGAGACTTAATCCTTCTTCAAACGTGAACGGGAACGAATCGATTCTCTCAATAAGAGCTGACGCCTGTGCCAAGTCACCCAGTTCTTTTGGCATCGAGTCGATCTCCATGCTACTTGATTCATCCAGATTACTCGCAATAGTTCCCGATAAACAGCCAATACTCATCAAGATAGCGCTCGCCTCAGCCTGTGCTTCAACTCCCTTCAATAGGAGATCGTTCAGCGGTGTAGTGTACGAAGACACGTCAATCGCAAGCGCCTGTGCCTTCTCAATCAACTTGCTAATGGCATCCATTGTCTTCTTCTTTGCTCTATCGACACTGGTCGTTGAAGATGATGCTCTGGCCGAGTGTGAAGAAGGAACATAGGACGACAGCGAGGCAAACAACTTGTCAAACGCCGCAACTCCGAGATTGTCACGAAGCTCATTGATCCACTTGCGGGACTGCTCCATAGCTGCACCAATATCGCGCTCCACTTGTGGCTTCCAGCGTGACTGTTTCTTGGAATAAATACGTTCACGAATAGTCTTCGCCTGCGTGAGCAAATCCTCCATTTCCTCAATCGACGTACGCGACGCCAGCTTCGACGCGGCTGTTGTGCACCACTCACGAGCATCGATTTCCGCCTCCAGGAATTTTTGCTCGTCCATGACCACTGGGATGTCTTTAGCCTCATCCAGGAGCTCTTTCAGTTGCTCCAGTGTCACATCAGCACCGCCATCTATCGCCTCCTTCACTTTGACTGCCCACACGTCTGCACACTCCAATAAATCCTGCATTTCAAACATCTCCGTGCTATTTTCACACGGCGCGTCGTCCACAAGCGCGCGAATCGCCTCCAAGTCCATTTTCTTTGGGTCTGCACCGCCTGCTCGTCGTGTCGGTCGACGGTTGGGCATGCATTTGCGCGCCTTTGCCAGCCACGTCTGCGCGCTGTGCATTTTGGTCTGGAACTGCTCCACTTCCTGTTCGAAATTCACTGGCACCAGCTCGATCTTTGCCAGCACGTCGCGTATCAGCGGCAGGCTTACCTTGTCTTCTGCCAGCATCTTATCAATAGTAGCCTTGAGCTCCTTCACTTCGTCAACCGTTTCACGGAAGCTGCTCTCCTGTGGGAATACGAGTTGCGGGGCCATGACTGCCTCAAAAAGAGCAATCAGCTCGTTCAATTCCACCCGTTTGCTCTGGTGACGCTTGCTGCTGTGCTCCAGCGCCTCCTTCAGCTGCGTGAGAGCAATATCGAACGCTTCTAGCCTCAATACAACCGTCTCCTTCTCTGGTAGCACAAGGTGTATGTTCTCCGCCTGATGCAGCAGCTCCAGTAGTCGACCACGGTCCACTTTCTCCTGGCTAGCCCCTTCGCATTGCTCTCTCCACGTCAAAATCCGCGTCACGAGACGCGATAGCACACCCGCCTCGGTCGACGGAATCGCATCACCAATCGCCTTTGCCTTTTCATGCAACTCGCACATCTGTTGCAGCATTTTCCCATCAATTTCGGTGCATCTCATGCAGCGATAGAAGGCTAACAGCCACTTCTTGGCTTCTTCCCCCGGCGTGGGCTTGGTGGCGCTTGGATTCATGCACCCAGTCAACCTCGGCAGCTCGATACTATGTCTCGCATACAGCGAGCACGCGGCGTCCGTGGTGTTATAATCGAAGCGGTGCAAATGCTGCAGCGCCAGCGTCGTGACCTGTTCCTGCGTGTCGAACGTGGCCCCATCCCGCAGCGACATCGCCAGTCTCAAATATTTGTCCAGCTCCGGTCCAAGTTCTAAATGGCCATTTGATAAGCAATATTTAGGACTAAATAACAAAAAAATATGATTCTGCATCACGCACCTTCGGCCTTGTCGGGGCAGTATCTGGGTTTGGGCTGCTGCAGCGCGTGCTTCTTGTACAGCAGCTCGGCGGAGTCGGCTGGGGATGTTAGCAGCTCGGGGACCACAGCTTGGTATCTCTTGCCGACCCTCGAATGGAGCGCCACAAACTGCGGAGAAGCGTTGGGGGCGGCCCCAGAGCTGCCCGTTCCGCTGCTAGTGCTGTCGCTGCGCTCTCGGGGGCTCTGTTCGCCCGCTGCGTCCTCCGAAGCGCCGCCGCGTCGACTCATGGAGCTCTGGACTCGGCTTCCGCGCGCAAGAGTTGGCAAATGGACCGCAGTCGGCAATTTTGACAGAGTTTCAGCCAATGAAACTGAGCGCTGAAATGGTCACGATGGTTTGTGATTTGTGCTCAAAGTTTAGCTCCTAAGATACATTTTGAAGGGTGCGTCGGGAATGCTGGTCATTTTGTGATCGCCCACCGGAAGAAGCTCAGCTCACTAATCGCGATGCTTGCCGCGAAGCTCCTGGGCGCCGCCCGCCACGCGCGTCCGCAGATGGCAGTGATGACCGTTGCTCGTACGGGTAGCTCGTTTCTGCAGCCGATGACGACGCGTCTGCTGCACACCTCGCGTCCCATATTGGCCCAATCGTTCGACGACAGCGGAATGCCCCGCCTTCAGGACACGCCCGTCAACATTGTACGTCCATTAGGCTGCGGAAACTGCTGAACGATAAGTGCTAACACTGCGTTTGCTGCTACTACAGGGCGTGCTGATCGTGCCGCAACAGCGCGCGTGGGTCGTGGAGCGCTTCGGTAAGTTCCACGATGTGCTGACGCCCGGACTACACTTTTTGATCCCAATGGTGGATCGCATCGCATATGTACACTCGCTGAAGGAGGAGGCGATTAAGATCCCAGGCCAGACGGCCATCACACGTGACAACGTGACTATCAACATCGACGGTGTGCTGTATGTCAAGATCATCGACCCGTACAACGCCAGTTATGGCGTCGAGGACCCGCTCTACGCTGTGACGCAGCTGGCGCAGACCACAATGCGCTCTGAACTCGGTAAGATCACGCTGGACAAGACCTTCGAGGAGCGTGAGTCGCTCAACCTGAGCATCGTGGAGGCTATTAACCAGGCCTCCGAGGCGTGGGGCATCAAGTGTCTGCGATACGAGATCCGGGATATCGCCCCTCCTCGCAGCGTCAAGGCAGCAATGGACATGCAGGCTGAAGCCGAGCGTCGGAAACGTGCCGAGATCCTGGACTCGGAGGGTGAACGTCAAGCGTACATTAATGTGGCCGAAGGTAAGAAGCGTGCTGCAGTCTTGGAGGCAGAAGGTGCGGCTGCTGCCATTCTGGCCAAAGCCAACGCGTCCGCTGGTGCTATTCAGCGACTCTCGAGCGCTATTCAGGAGACAGGTGGACGTGACGCAGTAGCACTCCAGGTGGCGGAGAAGTACGTGGATGCCTTTGGCAACATCGCCAAGGAAGGCACGACTGTGCTGCTGCCGGCCAACACCAACGACCCTTCTAGTATGGTGGCGTCGGCGCTCTCCATTTTCGGAAATATTCAGAAGAAAAACACCAAGGAGGCTGCTCGTATTGCTGGCAAGACAGACAGTCAGAGCAGTCCGGACGGCGAACTTGGCGAGTACACTTTGGACAGTATCGACCCGGACACAGCCAAGAACTAACTTGGCAATAACAGTAGATGAGGAGGGACCCTGACTTGTCAAGAGGGTGGAGGGAGTGTACGACAGGTAGAACAAATTGCAATATGACCTGTCGTGTCACTGCCAAACTATCCGCAAGCTATTTGTTGCCTGAACATGCTGTTGCCCTATTTCAGTCCTGCATGTACATGTCAAACAAAGAAAGCTTGATTCGCCCAGTTCGTCTTCTGAGCAAGCTTGTGTCTGATGTCCGAACCGTGTGATTCGGCTCTCGTTTTCCCACCATGCGCCTCATTCGAAAAGCCCCACGATCTGGACATTGTGAGGAAAATCGTTGAGCGTGAGGGCTGTCTTGAGGCACTACAGCAGCTACTTGGGGCAGCGAGTAAGCCGCAACAGCCTCGAATCTCCGGGATATCCAAAGCTCCGATAGTTTTCCAGAGTGTGATCGACCAACTTCGCTCCGTGAGTGTGCAGATTGTCGAGGACATCGACCAGTGGCAGCAAATGCAGAAAGCTAAAGCGCAGGCCATAGCCTTCAAATGGCGCGGTGTTAACTACTTGCTCAAGATGACAGCCGACTTGGACTTCCTCACATCCTTCAGAGGCGTGGCTCTCCTCGAGTCTCTTCAAGTGCTACGGCTGATGCAGAATCCGTTTCTTGCTCACATGCACCTAGACCACCCGATACTTCGCGAGAGCGACCCTGAATCAGCAGTCCAAGTGTTTGGAAACTGGGTCGGCGATGTCAGTATACGGCGTGTATTCTCTGCGTCAAAGCTGCTACTCCGTGAACGGGAGGCAGAAACCCGTCGTCGACTGGAGCAAGCGCCTGAACAGCGTTATCCGTTGAGTACGGATGAAGTTAACAACGATTCCGCTGCTGTAGCCCCGATCAAATCACAGCAAAGAACGTCGTCAACAAGAGCAAAGGTTCGCTATCTCAACCAGGACCATAGTGAAACGTCACTCGGAACCGCTCCTGCTTCAACTAGCTCGCGAGAAGCTGCAATGCGTGAGGATATTGCACTGAGCCGAGAGTTTATTGCCCAAGCGGAACGCGAGCTAGGCGCCATGCGAGATGACCTCGCCGCTCTACAAGCACGTCTCGACGATACAATTCTTCCCGACAAACGTCGACGACTACAGGTCCGGATCGGAAGTCTCGTCAACGACTTCAAATTCCGTTCAGGAGATATGTACCAACGTAGAAACGACCTCAAACGCAAAGAAACTATTTACCGCACGATTAGAGAGCGCCGGGGATCGGGTGGTAAAAGTTCTGCTAAATTGCGCTCACAAACTCCAGTTGTGGAAGGGTTTGTGGGCCACGAACGAAAAGAGAAGACTTACTCTCAACTGTTCGAGGCAGCTTTATTGGAGGACGAGCAGGTGCGTAACGACCTCGTACTGCGTGTGAATGCGTCACTGTCTAAAGCGAGAGTCGATGAGCACAAGCGCGGTGCTGCGTCGTCTACCCCAAGTCAACAAAGGCAGAAACCACCTGAAGAGCAGGGAGCTCTTGCACAATCTGAAGACATTGAGCAGTGGGGAGTTCGCGAGGTGCAAAGCTTCCTGGACTCGCTGGGGCTAGACGACGGCAGCTACGGTGCCGACTTCCGAGATCAGGGTATTGACGGCGCACTTATTGCTCAGGCAACTGACCGCGACCTTGAAGAGCTTGGGGTCAACATTCGCCTTCATCGAGTTCGCATCTTGACCGAATGCAACATGAAACGAGACCCTAGAAATGGATAGAAGACGATAAATGCTGGGTGGAGCAGGGAACCCGAAAAAATAATATGCGTAAAAATTAATCCTAATTTTTTAATTTAATTATTAATTTATGACTGTCAACAACGGGAACAACCCCAATTTTGAGTAAGGTCTAGTCAAGTTACAGCGTGGGGACGCGCTGAACGTCGCGGAAAAATTAGCCTGCGCTATATTTAGGTCGCCTGATCTCGAACGGTCGTCTTCAAGAGCCGCCGAAGAGCGCTCTATTGTGAGAGCGGCTTTCAAGAAACGCAATTGCGCACTACGTCGACGTCTCGTACATCCGCCAACGTCTAACGAGTGTGAGTGCTTCTTCTCTCTCGCTAAGCTGGTGCTGTCTGATCTACGGAAGCGAATGTCTCCAGCCAGGCTCGAGATGATAATGTTTCTGAACTACAATCGTGACTTGCGAAGTTTTGCAAATAATTGAATTATTAATTTTCTCAGCTCACATCGATGTATTAATCTAAGTATTGCATTTTCGGGTTCCCTGGGGTGGAGCAAAGTGCCCTTTGGGAAGATCGTCGGGTAAAGCCACATCGGACAATTTCACTAGCTGTAAGCTCAAACTGCCAAACCCTCAAACCGAAAATCGAATTCTGCCGGCCTCGAAGCGAGGAAAAAGCCCCCGTTAGAGTTTACTTAGCGATGTTTTCGTATCGACCTTAGTTATACCATTCTCGTAAAGCTGACGAGTAGATCTAACCACAACCAATCTATTGAACCATGTAAATCTTGTAGGGTTTGCGTCGAGAAATCCTCGTTTACCGAAGCTAAAACGGCCACGCAAGGGAAAGTAAAGCTTCGAAATTTTCGTCGTTAAAAGGAACCTTGGACTCCCCAAAATCCGCCGAATTGAGAGCTGCGCGCGCTTCGTCCGTTAGTTGATCCCACATGATGAGATCGTGGTATTGGCCATCATAGTAGGAAAATGTAAGCGGCAGCCAGTCCTTCGAGTCAATTACCGTAAAAACGCGGGTAGATATGTTGGAGCCGCCCTCATAGGTAAAGTTCCATCTCGTTCTGGTGAGTCTGTTCTGTCGAATTTCTTTAGTGCCCACAAAGCCAATTGGAGGAATGGTGGTGAACTTCCGATATGGATCTTTCTCTTCCGTCAGCTTTAGCCCCATCCATCTTCGCGGCTTTAGAAGTCGTTGCGACAACGACGCCCCAAGAATCGTCGGTGTCTCCAATGCTGGATTGTCGAGCCACAGGACCATATTCATCCAGTAGTGACGGATCCGGGGTTGGCCTGTAATAAAACCTTTGGGGAAGTACCACGCGAACATCATGGCCCACCTGTCTTGATACCACTTCGATCGGCCGTACATTTGAGACCCCAGAGGAGCTTCCGTGCAACCGTCAGTCCCTTTTGTTGGTTTGAGCCCACCTGTGATGTCACCAGCAGCATTCACGGCAGGAAATGAAGCACAGCCATCCAAAACATGAAGTTGTGGCCTGTACTTGACAGCAGCCTTTTCAGATATCGTGGCTGGCTTTGGTTGAGCGAATGGCTGCACTTGATCGTGATGCTGCAGTAGATGTTTAAGATTAATCGTACCAGCAAACGAACAGGAGAGTAGCGCCAGGCATTGAAGCAAAATGGAAATGGCATTCATCGTTGCAGTTAGTCTCCGCAGAGCTGCCACTGTCTGGTAAGATGAAAGTGAGGTAAATCTCTTTCCTCT